GTGGCTCAGCCACGTTCGACCCAAGAGCAGGTCGGAGCTGCAGTTCTTGACTGCAAAGACAAGCAGGGTCACTCTTACCCCTTGGACCTCTATGACTACCTTGTGACAAACCCCAGTGATCTGTTGCTTTCTCCCATCAGTCGTCTCTATCTCGAATAGGTATGACCTATCGAGGCTCAGTCCAACTTGTACTGCCAGGTCCTCGTCTATGATGACAGCCTCACTGCCGTTATCAATCACAGCATCGAGTATCGCTCCATCGTTTATAATCGTCTCCACGGCCCCGTTACCAAGTATATAAAACTTGTCTGGAGGCACACCTTCCATCTCATCGAGAAGGACTGTCGCCATGCGATCCACTCTGACAGTCCCCCCCGTTACTACTACTGTAGAAGCTTCTGCTTTAGGGGCCCCCTGACCCTCCTCTGATAGAGGTATGCGAGTCTTCCGCGTGATCATCTGTAATTCATCACGAGCCGGCTTCAATGCCGCCAGGTACTCCAGAATAGAGCACTGCATTGGTTGCCGAAGGGCCCGCCTCAGTGGCTCGACCGTGTCAATCTCGTCCAGCGAACTCTTCATTAAGAACTTCTTCACTCCCCGCTTTCGCGGCGAAAGGATAACCTCCGCTCCATCGACCCGCTGCCCGTCCTTCTCCGCCATCTCGTAATCCGTGTCAGTCTTCTTCGATGTAGACCCTCTTGCCGACTTGGTGGCTGCCACCCTTATAGGTGTGGTCGCGATATCCCCCTCAAAGGTTATCTTGATGCTCAGGCTCCTGACCGGCTCCATTCCTTTACTCGTCTCTATTCTCCTTGCTTCGACATTCTCCTTCATCGAAGGGAACATCGATACAACTCCTAGATCATCTGCCCACTTGACGTACTTGCGGTCGTCAAGCACGACAAGTCCCTCATCTATTGCCCGTTTGAGGTCCGGGCAATCCATCTTGATATGATCTTCTCCTCTACAATAGACGCATGAGTTCCTGGGAGTAGATGACCTATCGTCTGCGCCTCTAGAAGTCAAACTCCTGGCCGCCTTGGGGTCAGGCGACTTAGGATATGGTTCTGATGAGACGCCATATCCCCCCTCTCTCATTCCGTCCGCGCGAATCGTTGCGGCGGTCTCCTCCAGACCCTCCTTGCTCATACCGCCCTTGTGAATCATTCTGGCGGTCCCCGAGCCATATCGTCCTCGTGACTCATCGCGTCGGTCCCCTCGGTTGTACCATCCCCGCGACTCGTCGCGCTGCTCTCTCGCCTCTCCCCCGCGCTCAAACCGTCCGCGCGACCCATCTTGTTGTTCCCACCGATCTCCTCTCTCATATCTACTTCCTCTGTAGCCATCTCGACCCGACCTCTCGTATCTTTCGTCCCTATATCCATCTCGGTCCGATCTCTCGTATCTGTCGTCCCTATATCCATCTCGTCGGCCCTGTTCTGTCTCCCATCGGCCGCGGGAGTCGCCACTACCCCGATCGGCCTCATAGCGAGGGCTTCGCGGGTAATCATCTAGCCTCCTTGCTCGCACAAACAACTCGCGTTGTCTGCGGTCTCGGTCTATCTCATCGTCCCTACGTCGCCATGATTCATCGTCTCTCTCTCTTCCCCTCGTACGATAATCAGTCAGCGTCCGAGGATTTCTATCCTCGACATTCCTCCAGGGATCGTTGTTCCTACGGTCCCAGCGAAGTGAATAGGGCCCTCCAGGTTTGTCCCGGTAGGCCGTGGCCCCTGTGGCGGTCACAATCTCTGTAACCTGTCTCGTTAATCCCTTCACCATGTCCCGTATCTCCTTTACTTCCTCAGCCACGGC